TAGATCTCGACGAAAAAACAACCTGAGGCCGGGTTTGACCTCCGTAGATCAACTAGGAACTGAGTTAGAGGCGATCAAACTTGGAGATCGAAAAATCGAAAGTAGGTCGAAACTGGTATCAATCGATAGAGGAGATCACAAGGATTAAGAAAAACTAGGTCTCCAAGTTCGTAACCTCCTAGAAATCGATTTATGATTTTTTTCAAAAAAACTTCAAAAAAATCATATTTTTCTTTTTTTTGGGCATCTAAAAACCTTCTGACCTGGATTTCCGGACTTCTAACGTCATTTCCTATCGATTTATATAAAAATCTCGAAAACCTTGGATTTCGGGAAAATCGAAAAAAGTACAGTCTAACCCCTTCAGTTTTTTTCGAGCTTCTGAGGTCATGGAAGCCGATCCGGACGAAACCTATATCAATCGATAGATCTCGACGAAAAAACAACCTGAGGCCGGGTTTGACCTCCGTAGATCAACTAGGAACTGAGTTAGAGGCGATCAAACTTGGAGATCGAAAAATCGAAAGTAGGTCGAAACTGGTATCAATCGATAGAGGAGATCACAAGGATTAAGAAAAACTAGGTCTCCAAGTTCGTAACCTCCTAGAAATCGATTTATGATTTTTCAAAAACTTCAAAAAAATCATATTTTCTTTTTTGGGCATCTAAAAACCTTCTGACCTGGATTTCCGGGCTTCTGACGTCATTTCCTATCGATTGATGTAAAAAAATCTCGGAAACTTTGGATTTCCGGAAAAATCGAAAAAAAGTACAGTCTAACCCCATTCAGTTTTTTTTCGAGCTTCTGAGGTCATGGAAGCCGATCCGGACGAAACCTATATCAATCGATAGATCTCGACGAAAAAACAACCTGAGGCCGGGTTTGACCTCCGTAGATCAACTAGGAACTGAGTTAGAGGCGATCAAACTTGGAGATCGAAAAATCGAAAGTAGGTCGAAACTGGTATCAATCGATAGAGGAGATCACAAGGATTAAGAAAAACTAGGTCTCCAAGTTCGTAACCTCCTAGAAATCGATTTATGATTTTTCAAAAACTTCAAAAAAATCATATTTTCTTTTTTGGGCATCTAAAAACCTTCTGACCTGGATTTCCGGGCTTCTGACGTCATTTCCTATCGATTGATGTAAAAATCTCGGAAACTTTGGATTTCCGGAAAAATCGAAAAAAAGTACAGTCTAACCCCTTCAGTTTTTTTCGAGCTTCTGAGGTCATGGAAGCCGATCCGGACGAAACCTATATCAATCGATAGATCTCGACGAAAAAAACAACCTGAGGCCGGGTTTTGACCTCCGTAGATCAACTAGGAACTGAGTTAGAGGCGATCAAACTTGGAGATCGAAAAAAATCGAAAGTAGGTCGAAACTGGTATCAATCGATAGAGGAGATCACAAGGATCAATAAAAAAACTAGGTCTCTGAGTTCGTAACCTCCTAGAAATCGATTTATGATTTTTCAAAAACTTCAAAAAAATCATATTTTCTTTTTTGGGCATCTAAAAACCTTCTGACCTGGATTTCCGGGCTTCTGACGTCATTTCCTATCGATTGATGTAAAAATCTCGGAAACTTTGGATTTCCGGAAAATCGAAAAAAGTACAGTCTAACCCCTTCAGTTTTTTTCGAGCTTCTGAGGTCATGGAAGCCGATCCGGACGAAACCTATATCAATCGATAGATCTCGACGAAAAAACAACCTGAGGCCGGGTTTGACCTCCGTAGATCAACTAGGAACTGAGTTAGAGGCGATCAAACTTGGAGATCGAAAAATCGAAAGTAGGTCGAAACTGGTATCAATCGATAGAGGAGATCACAAGGATCAATAAAAAAACTAGGTCTCTGAGTTCGTAACCTCCTAGAAATCGATTTATGATTTTTTTCAAAAAAACTTCAAAAAAATCATATTTTTCTTTTTTTGGGCATCTAAAAACCTTCTGACCTGGATTTCCGGGCTTCTGACGTCATTTCCTATCGATTGATGTAAAAAAATCTCGAAAACTTTGGATTTCGGAAAAATCGAAAAAAAGTACAGTCTAACCCCTTCAGTTTTTTTCGAGCTTCTGAGGTCATGGAAGCCGATCCGGACGAAACCTATATCAATCGATAGATCTCGACGAAAAAACAACCTGAGGCCGGGTTTTGACCTCCGTAGATCAACTAGGAACTGAGTTAGAGGCGATCAAACTTGGAGATCGAAAAAAATCGAAAGTAGGTCGAAACTGGTATCAATCGATAGAGGAGATCACAAGGATTAAGAAAAAAACTAGGTCTCCAAGTTCGTAACCTCCTAGAAATCGAGTTTATGATTTTTTTCAAAAAAACTTCAAAAAAATCATATTTTTCTTTTTTTGGGCATCCAAAAAACCTTCTGACCTGGATTTCCGGGCTTCTGACGTCATTTCCTATCGATTGATGTAAAAAAATCTCGGAAACTTTGGATTTCCGGAAAAATCGAAAAAAAGTACAGTCTAACCCCTTCAGTTTTTTTCGAGCTTCTGAGGTCATGGAAGCCGATCCGGACGAAACCTATATCAATCGATAGATCTCGACGAAAAAAACAACCTGAGGCCGGGTTTTGACCTCCGTAGATCAACTAGGAACTGAGTTAGAGGCGATCAAACTTGGAGATCGAAAAATCGAAAGTAGGTCGAAACTGGTATCAATCGATAGAGGAGATCACAAGGATTAAGAAAAACTAGGTCTCCAAGTTCGTAACCTCCTAGAAATCGATTTATGATTTTTCAAAAACTTCAAAAAATCATATTTTCTTTTTTGGGCATCCAAAAACCTTCTGACCTGGATTTCCGGGCTTCTGACGTCATTTCCTATCGATTGATGTAAAAATCTCGGAAACTTTGGATTTCCGGAAAATCGAAAAAAGTACAGTCTAACCCCTTCAGTTTTTTTCGAGCTTCTGAGGTCATGGAAGCCGATCCGGACGAAACCTATATCAATCGATAGATCTCGACGAAAAAACAACCTGAGGCCGGGTTTTACCTCCGTAGATCAACTAGGAACTGAGTTAGAGGCGATCAAACTTGGAGATCGAAAAATCGAAAGTAGGTCGAAACTGGTATCAATCGATAGAGGAGATCACAAGGATTAAGAAAAACTAGGTCTCCAAGTTCGTAACCTCCTAGAAATCGAGGTATGATTTTTCAAAAACTTCAAAAAATCATATTTTCTTTTTTGGGCATCCAAAAACCTTCTGACCTGGATTTCCGGGCTTCTGACGTCATTTCCTATCGATTGATGTAAAAATCTCGGAAACTTTGGATTTCCGGAAAATCGAAAAAAGTACAGTCTAACCCCTTCAGTTTTTTTCGAGCTTCTGAGGTCATGGAAGCCGATCCGGACGAAACCTATATCAATCGATAGATCTCGACGAAAAAACAACCTGAGGCCGGGTTTGACCTCCGTAGATCAACTAGGAACTGAGTTAGAGGCGATCAAACTTCGGAATCAATAATATCAAATTCCGTCGAAATTAGTATCAATCGATAGAGGAGATCACAAGGATCAATAAAAACTAGGTCTCTGAGTTCCTAACCTCCTAGAAATCGAGGTATGATTTTTCAAAAACTTCAAAAAGTCATATTTTCTTTTTTGGGCATCCAAAAACCTTCTGACCTGGATTTCCGGGCTTCTGACGTCATTTCCTATCGATTGATGTAAAAATCTCGGAAACTTTGGATTTCCGGAAAATCGAAAAAAGTACAGTCTAACCCATTCAGTTTTTTTCGAGCTTCTGAGGTCATGGAAGCCGATCCGGACGAAACCTATATCAATCGATAGATCTCGACGAAAAAACAACCTGAGGCCGGGTTTGACCTCCGTAGATCAACTAGGAACTGAGTTAGAGGCGATCAAACTTCGGAATCAATAATATCAATTTCCGTCGAAATTGATATCAGTCAATAGGGGAGATCACAAGTATCAATAAAAACTAGGTCTCTGATTTCCTAACATCCTTCAAATCGAATTATGATTTTTCAAAAACTTCAAAAAAATCATAACTTTGTTTCTTGACCTAGATTTCCGGGCTTCTGACGTCATTTCCTATCGATTGATGTAAAAATCTCGAAAACTTTGGATTTCAAAAACGCTAAAAGCCATTCCAGAATTGACAATACGAAAATAGAAAAAGTTTCGATTTATTGTTCATTCACAACTGGTTCGAGTAACGAAATAGTGAGTAAAAGTTAGAGAATCAGACATGTTTTTTGAAACAATTATTATTGAGATTGAAAATATGGTACCATCTGAACTGAAAAATATTAAAATCATTAATTTTTCAAAAAAAGGTTAAATAAATACATAGAAAAGGGTGAGTTACCGGTGAGAAAATTCAATTATTCGAGATCAATTTGGTTAGTAATTACAATGAAATGTACATGTTCACAAATACAAATTAACAATAATACAGATTCACCAAAAAATAAAACGAGCCGCGACGCGACCGCAACGCATCTCCATGTGACTGGCCTGAAATAATGTATTTTTCCGGGGCTTTTTCTCATAAAAAATTATGGACTTGCTAGAAATATGATGGAAAATAGCACTAGATCAAAAATTTTTTTCTCATTTTCTCAAGTGGTCTCTTAAGTGAACTTCGAAGTTGAAATCTTCATATTTCTACGAACTTTCTGAGAAGCTTTTCTGGAATTTTTTAAAGGCGCATCTCTTAAAATGCCAAAATTGACTACATGCGCCTTTAATAGCGTTTTCTTTCAAAACAGCGCTTCAACTTTATCGCTCCAAGTAGTCCTAGAACTCATCAAAAATCCAGCCACAATTTTTAGGATTTTTTTAATTGGCTAGCCACGCCCCTTTTGACCAGATTTTTAGAGCGCAGTGGTGAATGGACTATACTTGAAAACTCTCCTTTTTTTCTCCAAAATTTATTTTTTTCTGAAACTCCTCTAAGCACTACCAGATCATTACACGGATGTCTAAACGAATTTCCTATTTTTTTACCGATTTTAGTCGAGAGTGATCACTTCAGCATACTTCTTCCTCTTGTTATTCTTCTTCTCCTTCTCGATTTCCAGTCGCTGGGCTTTCCAGCTGTAACCCCCAATTTTATACCCTTCCTTTTTGATTTTCAAACATCATCTTATTGTGGACTTTGACTTTTCGGTAGTATTCGCGACAGTCTGCCGAAATTCGCCAGCCGCACCAATTTATCCATTTTTCGTTGTGTTTGAAGTTCTCGTACGGGAAATTGACCTGAAATGAATCGATTCCGGCTAGAATATAACGTTATTTAAAAAAAAAGAGTACAAAATGGGATTCTTCCGTGAATGCGGAGTATTTCAAGAAAAAAAGGTAGAATTCTAGAAGTTTGACCTACAAGCAATGGCTAAAATTGCTTGTAGGTCAAACTTCTAGAATTCAAATATCATTCTAGGAAAACCGGCCTGATTTTAGAAGAATTTGACAATGTAAGTGACTTCTAGAGTAGATTATTTTCTCAAAGTAGGAAACAACTAAAAAAGTTCTGCAAAATTTGACCTGGAGATGGAGTCTGTGGGCGTTGAACATCAAGTTATGAGTTCGGCCTTTTATGGTGGATAAATCCAGGAAAATGTGCTCCAAAACGGAAAAAAATCTTATGCCCCTCTTTTCGGGATTGCACTAATAGATAAGTTGTGAGTAGTATAGGTATATCCTCGCATAGAAAAAAGGGGCGGAGCTTAGGCGCGCGCGCCCTTTGATTGATGGGCGCGCTGGTGGCACCCCTCGAGGGGAGAGGCTCCCTTTTTTTGGCCTTTCATGGTGGATAAATCCAGGAAAATGTGCTCCAAAACGAAAAAAAAAAATCTTATGCCCCTCTTTTCGAGATTGCACTAATAGATTAGTTGCAAGTAGTATAGGTATATCCTCGCATAGAAAAAAGGGGCGGAGCTTAGGCGCGCGCGCCCTTTGATTGATGGGCGCGCTGGTGGCACCCCTCGAGCGGGGAGGCCCCTTTTTTTGGCCTTTTATGGTGGATAGATCCAGGAAAATGTGCTCCAAAACGAAAAAAAAGCTTATACTCCTCTTTTCGAGATTGCACTAATAAATTAGTTGTGAGTAGTATAGGTATATCCTCGCATTGAAAAAAGGGGCGGAGCTTAGGCGCGCGCGCCCTTTGATTGATGGGCGCGCTGGTGGCACCCCTCGAGGAGAGAGCTCCCTTTTTGGCCTTTCATGGTGGATAAATCCAGGAAAAATGTGCTCCAAAAACGATCTTATACTCCCTCTTTTTCGAGATTGCACTAATAAATTAGTTGTGAGTAATATAGGTATATCCTCGCATTGAAAAAAGGGGCGGAGCTTAGGCGCGCGCGCCCTTTGATTGATGGGCGCGCTAGTGGCACCCCTCGAGGGAGCCTCCCAGCGCGCCTAAGATCCGCCCCTTTTTTCTATGCCAGCATCTATTTGTACTACATTCCGGGGGTACACAGATGGTGAAAAATAACCGAATTGTACTAAAAAAATTTTTTTAACCATCTAAGATTATTTTTTTAAAAAAATCTATTAACAAAAAATTTAAAAATTTACAGATAAATCAACACGTCGCGGGATCGACGTCGACGGTTGCCGCTCCAGATGAAAAACAAAAAAATAAAAAAACCTGAAATAAATTCAAAAAGTTTCCCATCGCGATGATGATGATGCCGCCGATGAGGAGAGTATCGAACCATTTATTTTGAAAAAAATTTATCTCAGGTTTTTTTCATTATTTTTTTGCTAATGGATCGGCAACCGTCGATCCCGCGACGCGTTGTATCATCTGTAAATTTATTTTTTATTTTTTTGATAAATTTTTTTCGGAAAATATTCTTAAATAGTTTTAAAAAAATGTAAAATACAATTCGGTTATTTTTACAATCTGAGTACCCCCTCGAGGGGTGCCACTAGCGCGCCCATCAATCAAAGGGCGCGCTCGCCTAAGCTCCGCCCCTTTTTTCTATGCAAGCATATACCTATACTACTTACAACTAATCTATTACTGAAATCCCGGAAACAAAGTCTCTGAACAGAAATGACGCGAAAACATAAATTCGTAGTTTTTCCTATGATTTTTTAACAATCTCGACTGTTTTTACGTTTACTGTTGACAAAAATCGAGTAAAATGGAATGTTAACTTTGGAAAATTCCCCTTAAGTGACCGCTTTTGAACAACACTTGTTATAATGTTCTAGGATGCCTGAGTTCCAAGTGACCACTCTAGGGACCTGAAAACCCACCTGAGTTTTTTTCAAACTCGCGCTCAATCCAAAGTTGTTATCTCCGTCGAAAAGTGTTTGGGTCATCTAGACTTTTTTATTATTGATCTTTTTTGTGATGAAACAGAGACCTCAATTAAAATTTCCTTGTGGGGTGAGCACAAAATGAAGTCGTCAATGTAGCGGAACATGTAGACGTCGGTTCTTGACAGGTAATTTTTCCAGTACTTTTGTTCGAAAACTCGGATGTAGAGCTGGAAAAAGGCAAATATACCCAAAATAACTTTAAAAAATCTAGGTTTAACTTTTCTTAGAAAAAAATAGACAGAAAAATCATAACTGATTTCCTAGGAAAGTTAGAAACTTAGAGACCTATTTTTTCTTGACCTTCCTGATCCCCTCTATCGATTGATACCAAATTTGGCTGATTTTTTGATTTTCGTCGAAAAGTACAATCACCTATAACTTAGTTTCCAATCCACCAAAACAGGTCATTTTTTTCGGAAAATTCAAGATTTTCGAGTTTTTCATATGGAAACATGGCAACTAAAAGATTAATGTTCTTTTTTTTTTTAAATGAGAAAAATCCCAACATGAGCCAAAGCGAGTCGACAAGGCGAATCCCTGCGGAACTCCATCAGTGATCCGGCAAATTTTGCTTTTATCGATCGAAATCTGAAGGAAAAATTCTGATTTCTCTGCGACCCTCACTTTTTCACATGCTATTTTTTTCTCAACTCATCTTCGATGAGAGAGAAGATAGCGCAGGGAGGTCAGATTGTTCCAAAACTAAACTTGAAGGAAAAACTCACGTAAAACTGTTTCAGCTGAGTCATGATTCCAGAGAAGGCTTCCCAAGGATAGAGGATCTTTAACATTTTTGAAATTAGAGAGAGGTTGTATGATTATGGTCGCAAATGGAATGGCTAGTTGCAGCCGACTTGAAACTACTCGCGCGCGTATGCATCAGAAATCTTCCAAATGAAGCCGCGACGCGCTGAGCCATTCTGAATGCGGTCATTTCTCTGAAAACGCCCGAAACCTCAGTTCTGATGTCTATGACATCGTAGCCTTTGCAACAACGTTCATGCTCGCATATGGAATGGATTGAAACTTGCAACCGACTCAAAACTACTTGCGCGCGTAAACATAGGACAACTTTAAAATACAGCCGCAATGCGACCGCGAGCCTTTGAGCCATTCTGAATGCGGTCACACTACTGAAAAACCACACAAAACCTCAATTCTGATGCATCTTAGTTCATAGTTTTTGTGAACGACGATTTTTTTTCGCATTTGGAACGCCTTGAAATGTAAGTTGCAGCCGACCTAAACTACTTGCTCAAGAGTAGCGTTGAAAAGGTTGGGCGAAATAGTGTCGCCTTGCCGCACGCCTCTTCCAATTTGTACTGGGATGTCGTGCCCGCGGATTCGGACAGACACTTTCGCTTCGTCGTAGATGTTCTTGAGCGTGTTAACTATTTTCGAATGAACGCCAAATTCGCTTAGAGCCGTCCAAAGGGATCCGAATTCCACGCTATCGAACGCCTTCTTATAATCGATGAACATCAAAAATAATGGGAAGCGATATTCGTGTGACTTCTGGATCATTTCGGAGACGACCAGTGTGTTTTCTGAGGTCGAGTATCCAGGTCGGAATCCCGTTTGTTCGATAGGTTGTGCTTCTTCCAGAGACCGTTCTGCCCGTCTTCTTAGGATGGAGGTGAAGATTTTGTGGATAGTCGACATCAAGGCTACAGGTCGGTAGTTTCCGATGTCAAGGCAGCTCCCTTTCTTGTGAAGTAGGCGGACTATTGAGTCTGACATCGAAGTCGGAGTTCTCTCGTTTTTGAGACATTCGTTGTAGATACTCGCAAGAATCGGGACTGCATTTTCTTCGGCAGCTAGGAGCATCTCCAGCGTTATGAAGTCAGGTCCAGGGGCTTTCCCCTCGTTTTGCTTTGCGCAAAGCAGTACGAATCTCGCTCGGCAAAATAGACGGAAGGTCATCTTGGGGTGGCGCGATGATTGCCGGAGAGCTTTGTTGTGCAGCATACAAAGAGTTGTAGAATGCTTGGACCGTCTTTGCAACATCTTCTTTTGAAGCGGCGATCGTTCCATCAACCCGCTGGAGTTGGGTCAAAGCGATCGAGCAAACTTTGGATTTTCTCAATGCTTTTCGAACACTCCGATGTTTCTTGATTGCTTTATCGATCTTGTTATGTAGGTTCATCTCGGTGTCGTTCTTGATCGAAACCCGAAGGGCCTTGTTCGTCATGCAAAACTCGATCCGACCAGAAGGTGTATGAGTTTGCGACTGGAGTTCTTGACGCTTCAGAAAGAGTTTTTCAGTTCTTGCCGAAAACCGAGAAGGAATCGGCTCATACAGTACCGCTCAAAAGTATATTAAGTTTTGGTTTTTTGAGGATATCTCGGCGAGTACTTATCCGATTTATATATAACTTTCAGGGATTATGAAAAAAATATACTTTGAAACATATACGGTATACGAATACATGTCCGCAATCACTGTGACACGTTTTAGGCATTTTTTTGAATTCAATTTTTTTGTTTTTTTATGCTTTTTATTTTTTTATTTATTTTTATTAAATTTTTTTAAAAGTAATAATGTTGCCATATGTTTTTTTTTCATGATTTCAGACATGAGAAGAACCTCAGGAAAAAAGAATTTGACTGATAACGACAAAAGAGCCATCGTTGTGGGTCGTCAAAATGGACTGACCATGATGACGTTGGCAGGAATGTTCGGCGTGACAGAGGCTTGCATTTTTCAGTTCCTAAAGCGTCAGAAAGCTCAAGATGGCTCTACTAAGAGCCAACGCACTGGAAGACCACGGGTCACTGACCGTAATGACGATAGAATCATTTTTAAGACGTCTAGAACCAATCCAAGACTCACCGCCCCTGCGATCAGACGGGAAGTTTTTTTGAATTCGCTATCTCCGCCATCCGTCTCGACCGTGAAAAGACGTCTGAATGCTGCTGAAATCATGGGAAGACGTCCAGTGAAGAAACCGCTGATTTCTGAAAAGAATCGAGCCGCCAGGGTGAAGTGGGCGAAGGAGCATCTCAACTGGACGCGTCAAGGCTGGAACAAGATTCTGTGGTCCGACGAAAACAAGTTCCTCCTCTTCGGGAGTGACGAAATTCAGTGGGTTCGTAGACCTATTGGGTCCAGATATCATCCGAAATACCAATTATCCACTGTGAAACATGGTGGAGGACCGTTTCGTCGGACCACAGAATCTTGTTCCAGTCTTGACGGGTCCGGTTGAGATGCTCCTTCGCCCACTTCACCCTGGCGGCTCGATTCTTTTCAGAAATCAGCGGTTTCTTCACTGGACGTCTTCCCATGATTCCAGCAGCATTCAGACGTCGTTTCACGGTCGAGACGGATGGCGGAGATGGCGAATTCAAGAAAACTTCCCGTCTGATCGCAGGGGCGGTGAGTCTTGGATTGGTTCTAGACGTCTTCAAAAATGTTCCTATCGTCATTACGATCAGTGACACGTGGTCTTCCAGTGCGTTGGCTGTTAGTAGAGCCATCTTGAGCTTTCTGACGCTTTAGGAACTGAGAAATGCCCGCCTCTGTCACGCCGAACATTCCTGCCAACGTCATCATGGTCAGTCCATTTTGACGACCCACAACGATGGCTCTTTTTGTCGTTATCAGTCAAATTCTTATTTCCAAAGGTTCTTCCCATGTCTGAAAAACATGAAAAAAATCATATGGCAACATTATTAATTTTTAAAAAAATTTAATAAAAATAAATTTTAAAAAAAGCATAAAAAAACAAAAAAATTGAATTCAATAAAAAAATGCCTAAAACGCGTCACAGTGATTGCGGACATGTCTTTGTATACCATATATGTTTCAAAGTATATTTTACATTATCCCTGAAAGTTATGTATGAATCGGATAAGTACTCGCTGAGATATCCTCAAAAACCAAAACTTAATATACTTTTTGAGCGGTACTGTAGGTAGTCGCGATGGTCGAAGCTTCACTAAAGACTTTCTTCAAACACTCGTAAGTTTCAGGAGAGTTTTGATTGAAGAGTCGTTCTACGGCATACGAAAATAGTGGCTTGTCGAAAACACGCTTTGAGGTTGCGCGTTTGTTGACGTGGCGGGAAACTATCTTCATTTTTGCTCGAACGAGACGATGGTCGGTGTCAAAATGAAGATTCGCGATGACATCCACGTCGTAGATAGGGCAACGACGATCCGCAATAACGTAATCAATGCAGTTCTTCGTGACGCCATCGGGAGATTTCCAAGTCCATTTTTTGGTTCCACGTTTTTTGAAGTACGTGTTCCAGATTCTCAATCCGTTTGCCTCACAGAAATCAACAAGTGTGTTACCACGATCATTACGGACTCCTATGCCATGGCTACCGAGAGAGGATTCGGTTGATGTTTTTGAGCCGACTTTGGCATTGAAGTCCCCTAGAGTCAAGGAATAAGAAGAATCCGCCCCCGGGTGCCGATCACGACGTTGGATTCGACTCAGAGCCTGCTCTAAGTCCTCTAGGCAGCTGGAAAAGACCTCATCGGCGTAAGACGTGGTTGGCGCATACACTTGGATGACTCCTACCCGTTTCTTTTTGAGTTTAAGGTCTAGGTACGCAAGTCGATCGCTAACAGGAGTGAAATCGACGTTGGCTGCCAAGCTTTTATGAACGAGGAACCCTACACCGGCTTGAGATGCCGTCCCATGGTAGTAGAGGGTGTGCTTGGTGTCGTTAAGCACAAGGCTACCAGTACCAGCCCGGCGAACTTCGCAGAGGCCGATAATATCAAAATTCACTTCCCTGATTGCGTTTTCGAGTGCGGCGAGTCGTTCGTTGGTGAGAAGCAATCTGACGTTCAGCGTTCCAACGAGGAGAGTCTTCACCATGGTGGAGCAGTACGGCGTCAGGCTTGTCCAGGGCTTGCAGACGAAGACTCGACTGGAGTGAACATGGGATCTCCGTTAACGGGACGCCTCTCACACACCTCCGGTTTGCTGACGACATCGTTTTGTTCGCTTCAAGCTCGAAGAAATTAGAAGAAATGGCAAACCAACTAGCCACTGAGAGCAAGAAATCTGGCTTGATCATCAATTTCTCGAAAACGTATATCATGTCAAACCGAGCGAAGAGAAGAGTGGAAGTAGACGGAAAAGAAGTATCATATGTTGACCAGTTCACATATCTCGGAACGCATCTTCATTTCGCGGAAGGTTTCAAAACGGAACTACTCCGCAGAATCCAATCTGCATGGGCAGTTTTCCACAAGTTCTCTATATATCTGACGAAGAAAACAACACCTCTCAAGAACAAAGTCAAAATATACCAAGCTTGTATAGAACCTGCGCTCTTATACGGATCAGAAGTCTGGACCCTCAAGAAAACAGAGATGAACATGTTAGCCACAGCACAGAGGAAGATGATGAGAAGAATGCTTGGTGTGACTCTAATGGATAGAAGATCAAACAGTTGGCTCCACGAAAGATTGAAGATGCGTGATGCTCGAATGGTTGCAACAAGAAGAAAATGGTTCTTCGCAAAGAAAATCGTGACGGGAGAAGAAACGTGGGCAAAGAAGATCGTAGAATAGCGGCCCTGGGAGAAGAAAAGATCTGTTGGACGACCACGAGCACGTTGGCGAGATGACTTCCGAAGCGTTCTTGGGGAGAATTGGTCGACCGTTGCGCGCAACAACAAGGAGCTCTTTAAATCTACCATGATTCAGCAGAGCCTTTTTGATTACTCTGATGTCTGAATAAAATTGAATTGAAATTAAACTACTTGCGCGCGTAGCTATAAAAGCTTTTGAACGAAATGCGACCATTTTACTGAAAAAAGTAAACGAACGGCTCAGTTCTGATGTTCATGGCCGCACTTGGAATGACTCAACACGTAAATCAGAGCCGACTTGAACCTACTTGCGCACGTAGCCATAGGAAAGCTTTAAAACGCAGCTGCGTCCCAACCGCGACGCACTTAGCCATTTTAAATGCGACCATTTCTTTGCAAACGCCCCGAACTCTCAGTTCTGATGCCTCTGACATCCTAGTTTCGCAAATAACTTTCATGGTCGCATGTGGAAGGATTCGATACTTATTTGCAGCCGACTTGAACCTACTTGCGCGCGTAGCCATAAGAAGCTTTAAAATGCAGTCGCAACGCTCTAAGCCATTCTAGATGCGAACTTTTCGACGACTTCAATGGGCTCATGCGTGATGACTCAACGCGTAAATCGCAGCCGACTTGAAACTACTTTCGCACCTAACCATAGACAAGCTTTGAAATGCAGCCGCAACGTTATAAGCCATTCTAAATGCGACCATTTTTCTGGAAAAGCCCACAAAACCTCCGTTCTGATATCCTTGACATCGTAGCCCCTGCAAACGACGTTAACCAGTTTCTCGCGAGCCTCGGCCGCCGTGGCGGCTACCGTAACTTTTCGGAATTTGCGCTCCCCGGCACCGCAGCGACGATGAGCCCAGCCGGTTGCTCTCACCGCCGGCCTGAGGAAGAAGAATGGTAAAAAGGGAATTCCTAACATCATGTTCGCTCCATGGACAAATAATTAATCTTGAGTTTGGTTTCGGTTGGAGTTTAACATAAGGGGCTTGATAGGCTATATTTCTTGAGACGACACTTGAAGAGGTAAGCGAAATAGTATGCGAAAAGAAGAGGTTCAGACAAAATTTCAGAATCCTAATCAATAGAGCAAACTTGATAGCAGAAGCCCAAGCTCAAAAAAAAGAAAACAAAAATATTTTCTCTCGCTCCTTGCGCAATACAAGCTTTTCCTATTTTTTTTTTTTCGAAAATCCGAGAAAGGGTTTTTTTTGAGTCATTCCTAACTACTGTGCCTTTAAATATAGAACCATATGATTTTACCAAAAGAGGGACCATTTTCCATCAAAATCCAGACATGAACTTCAAAATGTTCTATTTTTCTTTGCCCCTTTTTACGTCTTAAAAAATTTTTTTATCACTTTTTGTGATTCCAAATACTTCGTCTAACACATGGAGAAAAAGAAGAATAGGTACAAATAAAACCTTAAAAAATCCTTTCAATATTCTTTGAAATCAAAAATTCATCTTTTCAACACTTCAATTGTCTTCTTGAGAAAAATCAAGAACTCTTTTAAATTTTCAAAAATCATTTCCCGCCCCACAAACCTGTCAACGAAAATCAACCGCAAGACTTTTTTCATGCGGGTCGCCAAAATCGCCGAAAAACACTTGGTGATATCCGCAGTCATCACATAGAGCTTCTTATCGCCTCAAAACTTCCAATTAAAAATTATCAATTAAATATTTAATTACTATGATATTTCCTCTGATAATGGGCGAAATCACGGAGGCCTTTCACACCGAAATATGACGCTGGAAAAATTTTTCTGGCCTATTTAACTTTTTGGCCGCATTTGGAATGGCTCGCGGCACATCGAGCCATTCCAAGTGCGACCATGACAAATGTCTTACATCGAACTCTTGAAAATCCGGCCGCTTCGGAGAAATAATCCAATGCGGCGTTCAGATCTTGCAGCGTGTTGGAAAGTTTCCAATTTGAGCGCTAAAGTCTTTTTTCTTTTTTCTAATGATGCGGCGCGGCTGGCTTGAGCTATCGAAAAAAGGGTCCTGACACGATAATGCACGAGATAGCGCTTAGCTCGTGGAGAGCGCAGGCAGGACACGCCCCCTTAGCGTCCCAAGCTGGCCGTGAATCAGCTATATGAAAGATCATCTCTAGAATGATATTATCGACTCGGGAAACCGAAAAAAAAAGTTTTTAATTTGCGCCAAAAACCGCGACGCGACCGCACGCGTCCCAACAAACCTTCGGATTCGAATAAATCGGGCGAAAATCCCCATTAGAACAGAATAATCGGAGCTTAGCCACGGGTATTCCATTATTCCGCGGAGGCAGACTTTCCTGAATTTCGTTCCTTTTCAAAATGTTTACTTAATCTCCCAACTTTATCGACCCGAATCGCCTTGTAACGTCTTCGGAAGTCGGCCAGGGCTTCTTGGCGGAATTTTTCGAACGGCAATTTCCAGAAAAACGAGACCGGGAACACGGTTGTGGAGTTTATACAGCTCGCAGTTCTCTTGCTGGGAAAAACATATTTTTAAAACATTTCAAAATTTGAAGAAAAATATGACATATTCTATTCCTAAACTCATCAGGGATCTTCAGGAAATGTCCTGAGACGAAAATATTCAAATTTATCGAAATTTTACCGCTTTTTAAAACATACAAAGTTGTTCTGTGAATGAAAAAGAATGTCTCGAGTTATCTCTTAAGGGTTTCTACCCAGATCAAACTTTGAAAAAAAATTTATTGAGAAAATAATGAGCATCTTTCTTAAAGAGAAACCTCAAAAAAATTTGAATTTTTGGTTTTTCAAAGGCTCCTAAAAGTTGTTATAAATGAAAAAAATGTAATTTTTTTAATGGTCCCGACAAGAGTTCTCTCTCACTGTGGAAAAGTTTAAAAAAATGCGCTTAAAAAAATTTTTTGAAAAATCATTTTTGGCCCGAAATTCCGCCTTTAAATACATCAAACATGCTAGAAAAATGAACTACTTGTGTTTTTTTCGGATCTTCTAAGAAAAATCTTTCAAAGTTATCAACCTATTCAATTATTGATGATTCCGACGATTCACATTTCAAAACCAACCTCAAACTCTGAAAAAAACGAAGACGACAGCAAAAGAAAGAGACGTTTCAAAATCGTCGTTTTTTTGTGACCCGATTTCGCTCCAAATCGTTGGAAATCCAGGTTCGCATCGCTTTGGAACGGAACATCCTCCCAATTGGCGCTGAAGACGCTTGTAAAAATGCGAGCATTTTGAGTAATATGCTTTTCAAAAAAACCCCCCTAGAAATTATTTCTAAAATATACCCTCTAGGGGCCCCTTACGGTTCGATTCTTACAAGATTATTGTATGGTTTATTTATAAGAACACTACACCCTATATAGTTGACTATACCGCAGGCGATATAGCCTAGGCTACTTTCTGCGACATCGCCAAAGTTCCGCTGCCTTATCGCTCATGCTCATAAATTATAAATTTAAAAATTACTTTCATTATTTTTAACTTTTATGATGGCATGAATAAAAGAAAATAAAAGCGACATCGCGCAGTACTCTTGCGATATCGAGCATTACTTTAGCGATATCGAGCATTACTTTCGCGATATCGCGCACAACTTTCGCGACATCGCGCAGTACTTTAGCGATATCGCGCAGTACTTTCGCGATATCGCAGATCCCGCGCTGAATAGAGCTTCGATAGAGTCCACAATATTAGGTGCGTAAACGCTCATTTTATCAGAAAACTTTCGCGCCAAGAAATTTTGAGTCTTATTTTGACAAAAAACCTTTTCAAGTCGCCAAAAAAAAATTACCATCGAGGATTTTGAGATTCGGCAATGGGATTTTCTTGGTTTGTAGTGTTTCCAGTGCAGCGAACCAATTGGCGATGATCAAACAATTATTCAGGCCGATGATTTCTTGGAATCCGGCGGCCATCAACAAGACTTTCGAGTATTTTCGCAGTATTTCACCTTTCACTTCACAGGCACTGGAAAAATTGAAATTATTTCTTCGAATATTCACAAAAAAATTTCAAAAAAACACTTCATGAAACGGCCAAAAAAATAATTTTTCATGTCAAGTTTTGAAGAATCCCATGGAAAAACACCTTTCTTGTAATTTACATTTGTTGTTTTGCATGCGAATAGATTTAAATATATAAAAAAATTCGCAACTCGTGCTAAAAAAATCTGAAAAAAATTAAGATTTCGAGCTAATGTGGTACTTTGTCTTAACAATTAAGTTTTTTTAAATTCTGAAAAAAAGTTCATAATATTAAATTTAAAAAAAGCATTTATAGTAGAATGTTTTCAAAACTTTTCAAAAAAATTACAAAGAACAGTTGAAACTGTACTACAATGGTTAAAAATCTTATAACATAATTATTTTTTTCTTAACTCAAGGATTCCCATTTTGATTGAATTATTCCTTAAAAAAACTAATTATTCTTATCAAGAATCTATTTCAATGGTTTAAATTAAGACTTCCTTAATAAATTCATTTTTTTCGGTAAAAATTAGGAGTTCAAAAAAATTAAGTAAAACAATCCTTCAAAAAAACATTTTTTTAACTGATAAATATCAGAATGAAAGTTGATTTCAGCTATCTATCCTAAAATGATAATTATCCCGCAAACCTCAAAGATTTCATATCCTTTTCACTCGGGACAATAACCCTCCAAGCATTCCTGACACGAGAATTCAAAATATTCCCAATATTATCCGTGATATGAAACCAAACTGGCGTATTCTCCAGTTTATCTTTTAAAGAACGGCCCAACATTAGTTCAACCACTTGCGTCGCGTCGAAATTCGTGTTCTGAATTGAAAAAAATATTAATTTTTTTGATAAAAAAATCGAAAAACCTCTGATTTATTACAGTTTAGGAATGGTAAATGGTAAAGGCGCATCAGTTCGAACCAAGTTCTCCTCGAATATAACCCTTTTAAACAATTCGCCAACGGCAGTTTGTGAGGATCTGGTGAATTCGAACTGCCGGCCCGTTGCATTGCAACTGAAAGTTGAAATTAAACGTATTTTGTAGAAAATTATCTGAAAAATATTTGAATACAGAATGAAAAAAACATTTAAAATTCATGATGAACCCTTGGAACAATGCAAAAATGGTTCCCAAATGGAAAAAATTTACTCCGCAACATTATATTTCGTTTTGAAGCAGCATTAAGAAAAAAAAAACTTTCAAACAGTTCCAGTGAAGTAATTTCATGGGATTAAGCATTCAAAAAGGAAATAAAAAATGACTACTTTCTGCAATAATTTTATAGTTTTTGAAGAGATATCAGCATTGAAAACTTCGCTCAATATGAAATACGAATATACCTGTCCATGATTATCAATAATCAACAAAGAAATAACAACAAAATAAATGATAAATAGAAAGAAAAGGCATGTTCTAAAACACGAGCGGTTGTGGGGCACGAGCGGCACGACCGTTACTAAATCACGAGCGGTTTCATTTTCGCTCCTTCGCGAACGCTTCTAAATCACGAGCGTTTTTGGCTTATCGTTCTGTTCGAGCGTTTCATTTTAATCATTTTCTTTATTACCATCCAAGTGTGTTTTTTTTTTCATATTTCTACCTTCTTTTTCTCCTTGAATAAAAATTTTGACGATCTTATATGCACATTTTTTCGCTCAATTTGTTGATTGATTCACATTTGAGGTTCATATAATGGATTTTTTCTAAGTTTTTTTGCGGTCTCTATAATTTCACAGATTCTGCGTATGGCAAATTTTTTTTCTAATAATTTCATCTGATTTTCATATTCAATATTTCACAGATTTTGCGTATGATAAACTAATATTTCACAGACGTCTCGCATGAAAGTCAATATTTCTCAAATTTTGCGTATAGCAAATTTTTTTTTCTAATACTTTCTCTCAAAATTTTTCTGGTAATAGAATCTCATATTCGAATTGATGCCATTCATATTTTATTCTCCTCTTACCCGCTAGAATAGTTTTGGAGATACTACCAAAAAATTTATTCGTTTCCAAGCTTTGAAAATATTTATCATGAAACGAGAAAAAAAAATACGAAATTTACGAAGTATCAAAAATAAATTAATAACCGTAGCGAATGAATGAAATAAATGCCATAAGCGTCGGGTGGTTCATCGGTGAATGACAGCCGTATAACGAAACAGATTGGAAAATGAAAATATAGAAAAAAGGAAATCAATGTATAAATCAGAGTTTATATTAAAGAATTCAGTTCGAATAATCCTAGCAAAAACTGTTCTCGTGATTTAGAAGCGTTCGCGAAGGAGCGAAAATGAAACCGCTCGTGATTTAGTAACGGTCGTGCCGCTCGTGCCCCACAACCGCTCGTGTTTTAGAACATGCCGAAAGAAAATGAAGAAAAAACTTTCCAATTTTTAAAATTCCTGCGTAAATAGTACTGTTGACTGGGGCGCACTTTCATGTGAGTTCTTTTTTTATTGACAAAAAAACTTTTTATCAAAAAAGGTGGTATTTCTGGCTTTGAAGTAGTCAAAATGCGTTCAGTAACAAAACTAAAGTGACAGTAAATTTCGAAAAAAGCCCTCAATTAATTTCGAATCAAAAAAATTTTTTTGAAAAAAAGGTTTTTTTGCAAGGGGACAAATCTATATAGATTATCAAGATAGCTATCACATGAGGTCATTTTCAAGAAAAAAAAAGCAGAAAATAGAAAAAACGATTAAGGCGTGATTTTTCCAAAAGTTGATGGTCATTTCACAAAATCGGGCCACTATCCCTGGCCTAGCATGTCTTGGAAGTCATTTTCGGGTGAGAATTTTGGGATTTCCATTAAAATCGAGCTTTTTTTTCTATTATTTAACGAGTTCAAACGAAAATAAGTCATGAAACATTTTTAAGAAGCTCAAATTTGTTCTAAAAATTCCTTTATTTCTGAGTGGAATTTCAAGAATTTATTTTTTTCTTTCAATTTTAAAAATTTGAAAATGGGGCTATAATGCCGTGTTCAAAGTAATTTCCGCGAAATGCAAAATGGTCTCTGACCCTCCAAAATTTAGTTATCTTTCTCTTTCTCTGACGGCTATTTTGAATTTCGCGGAATCACTTTGAACACGGCATAAGTGTTTGAACTTTTTAAATTTTCCATGAAAGGCCTTAATTTTGCTCCCGTGAGGGCTCGAAACATTAAAAAAGTCAATCTGGGCTCAATTTTCTCGAATCTTTTCAATTTTTTTTTTAGTTCCGATCATCCTACTAGCCACGTCGATTGTCTCCAATTGCACTACAGCAAAATATCGTTCGTATTTTCTAGTTTTTTCGAGAAAAAAATGTCAAATTTTGAAGCTTTTTCCTCACCGGAATGCTGCGAAACGCCGATTTTCGGAATCGGACCGGACAGCTGCGGTAATACGGGATGTGCGACGTGTATAATCGGGGAGTTCATCGTCAAAAAGCAGGACTCCAACGGGTTCGCCCTGCCAATGTCCAAGTACCTGAGATCGGCGTCGCGGATCGTCCTGGAGGACATTAAAGACGTCGTCGCGTTCGAAAACCTTCAGACTTTGATCTATGACGGCACCGATTCCGAATATTTCCCGGGTATCTTTCTTCGAAAAAAAAATGCCTCTCTGTACTGTCTGCACCCTCTTTACTCTCACTGGAGATCTGAAAAAAAAATCCTAAAAATATCATATGAAAGCAAGAGCTTGGGTGAGTAAAACGAGAGTACGAAGATATTCTAACTTCTCTCGAGTTTATACGCTATTTCCATGATCTGTGACCTTTATGGCGAGGGAAAAGAGAGCGCAGACAGGCCAGACATGAAAAGGACCACAATATATCGCCTCAAAGCTAGACTCTCTGTTTTGTCTGCGCTCTCTTATCTCTCATCGTTGAGCTAATAGAATTCTGAAAATATCATATGAAAGCAAGAGCTTTGCCGAGAAAAGCGAGGGAGCACAGCAATGATAATTTTCTGACTTCTCTGCCCTCTCCCGTTTCTCCACGCTACTTTCATGTTCTATGACCTAGCTGGTTAGAGAAAAGAGGGCGCAGACATTAAAAGGATCACAATATATCGCCTTAAAAACTCTCTTTTTTGTCTGCGCTCTCTTATCTCTCATCGTTGAGCTAATAGAATTCTGAAAATATCATATGAAAGCAAGAGCTTTGCCGAGAAAAGCGAGGGAGCACAGCAATGATAATTTTCTGACTTCTCTGCCCTCTCCCGTTTCTCCACGCTACTTTCATGTTCTATGACCTCACCGGCGAGGGAGAAGAGGGCGCAGACATTAAAAGGATCACAATATATCGCCTTAAAAACTCTCTTTTTTGTCTGCGCTCTCTTATCTCTCACTGGAGATCTAAAAGAATCCTGAAAATATAATATGGAGGCAAGAGCTTGGCCGAGAAAAGCGAGGGAGCACAGCAATGATAATTTTCTGACTTCTCTGCCCTCTCCCGTTTCTCCACGCTACTTTCATGTTCTATGACCTCACCGGCGAGGGAGAAGAGGGCGCAGACAGGTCAGACATTGAAAGGATCACAATATTTCGCCTCAAAGCTAGACTCTCTGCTTTTTCTGCGCTCTCTTCTCTCTCATCGATGAGCTAATTGAACCCTGAAAATATCATATGAGAGCAAGAGCGTGGCCGAGAAAAACGAGAGTGTAGAGAGACTCTCACTTCTCTCGAGTTCATGCGCTATTTCCATGTTCTCTGACCTCACCGGCGAGGGAGAAGAGAGCGCAGACAGGTCAGAAAACTGCATGAAGGCATAACACCTGGGGTATATCAATCTTGAACTCCTAATTTTTAATACCTTTTTGCGAAAGTCGTTTCAAGCCCGCCGCAAATTCATAGGAACCTTTTGGCTTGATCGTGATTAAAAAGATTGCGACGCGACGCTTCGAGCTAGTTTCCTGTTCTCTGACCTTTCTGGTGAGAGAAAAGAGGGCGCAGACAGGTCATACATTAAAAAGTTATCAATCAACTGCATGAAGGCATGACATCTGGGGTTGAGCTCCTAATTTTGACACAATTCCGCGCAAGTCGTTCCAAGTCCGCCGCAAAATAATACCAACCTCTTGGAAGTTGCGCTCGACGCTCCGAGCCATTCCAAGTGCGTCCAAAAAGTCTCAATTCGTAATGAAAAGATCAATAAACCTGAATGACAAGGAAACATTGTAGGATATTTCCAGAGCCTCTGATCCGCATCCGGAGGACGACCGTCTCGGAAAAGTCATTCAGCAAACTGGAAAAAATCGAAGTGAATCCCTTGAATCCGTACTGCGAGAAAGGGACCATCTTCGACATTGACCGGATGCATCCGACGCCGTTGAAAAAACTAAGGGATCTGGAAAAGGTTTCCGTTTCTTGGCACTTCTATGAGCCCTTCCCTAATCTTATACTGGAAGAGCAAAAGGTAGAGTTATTGGAGTTTGATGAAACTTCGTACAGAGGTACTTTAGGACCTTCCGAATCTAAAAAAGTTGAGGGAAAGGGCGCTTTTTTGGTTCTAGCTGAGTTATTGCACCTCGAAGTTTACACACAAAAAGCTGCATTGGATGGAAGGAGGAGATGCCATAACTCGACTAGAACCAAAAAGACACACTTTTTTCAACTTCTTTGGATTCAGAAGGTCCTAAACTTACTCTGAACGAAGTTTCATCCAATTCCAATACCTCGATCTTTTGCAATTCTCATGTTAGTATCAAAAATGTCCAAAATGCCAGACTGAAATTTTCAAGTTTCTCGCAAAAAAAAAACCTTATCTTGTGGTTTTAATCGATGAAACTTCGTACAGAGGTACTTTAAGACCTTCTGAATCTAGAGAAAGTGAGCGCATTTTTGGTTCTAGCTGAGTTATGGCACCTCAAAGTTCATACCCAAAACAATCATTGGATGAAAGGAAAAAATCGGGGTATTGGGTTGGGATGAAACGTCGTTCAGAAGTACTTCAGGATCTCCTGAATCCAGAGAAAATCGAAAAAGGGTGTTTTTGACTCTGGTCGAGAATTATCAATGAATTCACTTTTTTTTTGTGTTTTTTTTGGGCGCCATAACTCGACTAGAACCAAAAAGGCGAATTTTTTTTTAAATATTTCGAATTCAAAAAGTCCTAAAGTATCTATATACAAAGTTTCATCTAATTCCAGCACCTTGACCTTTTTCAATTCCAGCATTAGTATTGAAAATCTCCAAATTTCCTAACTCAACCCAAAATTTTTAAGTTTCCAGCCAAAAACCCTTACTTTTTGGTTCAAACTTCACGGTCTTACTCTCAGAAGTTTGGTCTAATAAAGTTTTCAAATTCATAACCAAAACACCCTTACTCCTCTATAAACTTCAAATTTAAGTTCAAAATACTCTTTACAATTCAAAGTTTCAATGCAAAGGTTTAAGAGACTAAAAAATACCTAAGTTCCTAGAAAATTCTTTAATTTTGGTCAAGACAACAGGTTTTGAACTATAACTCTTTTTAATAAATTTAGATTTCTAGCTCAAAATGCTCTTTCAGGGATCTTATCATCTTGCTCAATTTGAGCGTAAGTCGTTTTGAGTCGGGTGAACCCATAAAGATTCTAAAAATCAATAAAAAAGACGAAAATGGAGCTTTCCTGATCATTTGCGCTCCATGGACAAGTCTCCAGTTGCTTAATAATTAACGATTATATAGACCGCAAGTCGTTTTAAGTCGGATGCACCCATAAAAATCCTAAAAATCATCAAAAGTTAGACGAAAATAGAGCCCTTTTCTGATCATATGCGCTCCATGGACAAGTCTTGATTTTCCAGAAAATCTTGCAAGCGTGTACGACAAAACAGCCACCGCCTTGCTTACCTTTCATTCAAACTGGATTAATCGATAAAAGTTCAAACGTGACGTTCAAATTGAAGCCGGAAGGGGAGAAGGAGAAGAGTGATTGCGAGGACTGCAATTGCGAAGGTAAGACTTTTTTTTGGATTCATTCAAAAATCGAGAAAGTATGATCCTTGGTAACGTAACCCGGACGTGTCGGAGTATTCCTAGTGACCACTTTAGAGCCGTCAGAACTCTTAAGTGATCCCTATAGATGCTGAGACACGTCCGGTTCGCGAAAAATAAATATTGAAGCAAAAATCTGCTTTTAAAAGTACCCCAGAGTCGTTTTGAATGAACTATGAGGCAATGAAACTTAAAGTGGCCCCTAGAGGGATCAAGGGTTTCGCTGTTCCCAATAGACAGCTTGTATTGCTTTTTATAAATTTTAAAATTTGTCAGAAAGAGTTGCCCTTGAACCTTTGTAACGCAAACCGGACGTGTCGAAGCATTCCTAGTGACCACTTTAGGGACGTTAAACTCTTAAGTGATCCCTAGAGCTGCTGAGACACGTCCGGTTAGCGTTACCGAGGTCCAAGGAAACAAGTAAACCTTTGAAAAAAATCTTGGACCAAAAATGCGCTTTTGAAAATACCACGGAGTCGTTTTGAATGAACTATAAGGTGCTAGAATTGTAAGTGGTCCCTAGAGGGATCAAGGGCTTTTCTCCTCCCAATAGAAAACTTGTATTGCGAGAGCGAGAAGGATTTCCGAAAAATTTTTAAAACTAGGCAGAAAGAGTTGCCCTCGAACCTTTGTAACGCAAACCGGACGTGTCGGAGCATTATTAGTGACCACTTTAGGGCCGTCAGAACTCTTAAGTGACCCCTAGAAATGCCTGGAACAATGGAGCGTCTGATTAGCTTCACTGAGGTCCAGGGAAACAGGTAAGTTTTAATCATAGCGCAAAATGGGCTTTTAAAAGTACTACGGAGTCGTTTTGAATGAACTATGAGGTGCTAGATTTGTAAGTGGTCCCTAGAGGGATCAATAGCTTTGGGCCGTCAGAACCCTCAAGTGGTCCCTAGAACTTTTGGACAAGTCTGGGATACTTATCAAGTTCAAATATAAATAAAATAATAGCTATTATCCATGGAGCGCAAGTACAAAATAACTCGCGGCTGTTTTTTCTCACCTAACTTTTTTTTTCGATGAAAGATTAGATCATTTAGGAACGATAATGCTGGCGATGATCTCGATTTGCTGGGTTTTCGTCACTCTGGGCATTGGATCAATGGTTTTTATGTGCATGCAAGCTAAAAAAGCGGAAAAACGATCAGAGTCGGTCAGTTTTTCTAAGTGCGCCCGACCAGCCTCGACTTTCGCTTTAGAGCCATGGGAGTACAGATGCCTAGGCCATGAGTCTACCACTTTAACAAGTTTTTGTCCTATTTGAATAAACTTTTTCTCAAAATAGTCTGACGTGTCTGCGCTCTCTTATCCCTCACCGTATAGAAAAAGGAAAATAGCACATAACAACGAGATGGTGACGCAGAAACAGAGATCATAGAGGAAAGGGGAAGTTCAACATTTGCATGTTGATGGTCGTCATATATGGACGACACGGATTTCTTTGGGGGAGGGGGGTTTTGGGAGGGGGAACTTGAAGAAGAGAGTTAGAGAATTAAAAAAATTATCGAAGGAATTTTTCAACATTTGCATGCTGATGGTCGTCATATATGGACGACACTGATTTCTTTGGGGGGTTTTTGGGAGGGGGAATTTGAAGAAGAGAATTCAAAAAAATATTAGAAGGATTTTTTTCAACATACATTTGCATGCAGATGGTCGTCATATATGGACGACACTGATTTCTTTGGGGGGTTTGAAGAAGGGGGTTAAAGCTTTTTAATTTTTTTGAACTATAGGCCTGATTCACCGACTTTTTTTGTCCTCTTACGCGCTCAAATTGTATCAATTGTATTTTTGCGAGGGGTTTCTATGAATTTTGGTTTAGTTTTTTTGAAAAAAGTCGTTAGAAGGTGATAATGAATGAATTACTGACTGCAAAAAAGGCTTTTTTTTTCAATAAATGTCCTCTTACGCGCTCAAATTATAGCAATAGCATTGGACATTTCTCACAAGGCAACATAAAGTGGATTGTTTCTTTTTACATTAGGAATTTATAAAAGGTAAATTTTAAAAAAATGGCTTTTTGAAAATAATTCCAAAATGGGCCATTCATTGCAGATACCCAGTGAGAAAAGGTTAATATTATTATTTTATTGTGCCTGAGGGCTGTTTCGAAAAATTGTCCAGAAGATTTGAGATTCAAAAAAATTCTACACTAAATATAAGGTTTTAAAGAAAAAAATTAAAAAAATCGGAGCAAGATTTTTGTAATATTACTATTTTTAGGGATTTGAAGTTATTTTCAAAAAATGAAAAGAAAAATTGGAAAAAAAGGTTGAATTTAAAGCCTGGCGCCGTTACAGCTCTTCAAAAAAAGTTTTTGAAGCTAGAAAATTTCGAAAAAATTCAAAAATTCAATCCAGGTCGAAAAAAAAAGAAAAGCTCAACTTGTACACGTTGACGGCTCTAATTTATGAAGAGCACTACTTTCTTTTTGAATTTTTTTGGGTTTTTGTTTTTTTTGAGTGGGGATTTTGAAGAAGTGAGTTTAATTATTTTATTTTTTTATTTTTTTGAACTATAGGCCTGATTTACCGACTTTTTTTGTCCTCTTACGCGCTCAAATTATAGCAATTTATTTTTTTGGAAGGGTTTTCTATGAATTTTTTTGAGTTTTTTTGTTTATTTTTTTCTTTAAAGGGGGGATTTCGAAGGAGTGAGTTTGAAATTTTTTTTGAAGAGCACTACTTTCTTTCGAATTTTTTTGAGTTTTTTTATAAGAAGTGAGTTTAAAAAAACTTTTTGGACTGCAGGCCTGTTTTACCATTTTTTTGTCCTCTTACGCGCTCAAGTTGTATCAATTGTATTTTTTTGGGAGAATTTCCTGTGAAGTTTTTTTCCGAAAAAAATTTTTTTCAAAGGAGCAAAATTAAAAATTTATCACAAGGCAACATAGAGTGGATTGTTTCCTTTTTTTATTTGGAATTTATAAAAGGTAAATTTTAAAAAATGGCTGTTTAAAACTAATGCAAAATGGGCCATTCATTACAGATACCCAATGAGAAAGGTTATTATTACTTTTTTGCGTCTGAGGGCTGTTTCGAAAATTGTCTTTTTTTTCAGTTCTAACTTTTTGAACTACTGGCCTGATTCACCGATTTAGTGTCCAGAAGGATCGAGATTACAAAATTATACACGAAAATGATTGGTTTTTTTTAAGAAAATTGAAAATTGGAGCAAAATTGATATGGGTTGTAGTATTACTGTTTCAATAGAAGTTTATAAAATTTGAATTTTCAAAATAGCTGTTGAAAGTTAATGCAAAATGGGCCATTCATTGCATATTCCCAATGAGAAAGGTTGTTATTATTATTTTATTGTGCCTGAGGGCTGTTTCGAAAAATTGTCCAGAAGATTTGAGATTCAAAAATTCTACACTTAATATAAGGTTTTAAAGGAAAAATTAAAAAAATCGGAGCAAAAATTTTTGTGATAATACTATTTCCTTAGAGATTCAAGTTATTTATATAAAATAAAGTGAAAAAAATGAAAAAAAGGTTGAATTTGAAGCCTGGCGCCAATACGGCTCTTCAAAAAAAGTTTTGAAGCTAGAAAATTTCGAAAAAATTCAAAAATTCAATCCAGGTCAAAAAAAAAGAAAAGCTCAACTTGTACACGTTGATGGCTCTAATTTATGAAGAGCACTACTTTCTATTGAATTTTTTTGGGGGGTGGGGGGAATTTTTTTTGATTTTGTGGGTTTTTTTAGGGGGAGGAATTTTTTTAGATTTTTTTGGATTTTTTTGTTTTTTTGGGGTTTCTGGTGTTTTTTTAGTGTTTTTTTGAGTTTTTTTGATATTTTTTTATCTTTTGAATTTTTATGGGTTTTGTTTTTTTGGATCTTTTTTTGGTATTTAAACAAAAATTTCGAAAAAGAGTTTTTTTCACAAGTAATCATAAAAAAATTCTTTTTTTCTCTGGTTTTCTGACTAAAAATTTAAAAAAATTCATCAAAAACTAGAATGATTTTTCTGAACTTAAGGCCAGATTCACCGATTTGGGCTTCTTGGCTTTGTTTTTGGACCAAGACATAAATATTTTTTTGGATCCATTTCAAAAAAATTTAAAAAAATAGGAGCGAAAATGGGGCAACCCTTGCAAATACCCAAGGAGAAGGATATATTTTCTGGATTTTTCCTAGATTTTTTTCAAAAAAATTGAAGAAAGAGCACTCATTGCAAAATTCTAGCGAAAAAAGGTTTTATTTTCTGTTCTCCAAAACGCAGAGGGTTAACCAAAATTTGAATGATTTTCTGAGCTTAAGGCCAGATTCACCGATTTGGGCTTTTTGGCTTTGTTTTAAGCCAAGACATAAATATTTTTGGAGGAAATTCAAAATTTGAGAATGGGGCAACCATTGCAAATACCCAAGGAGAAGGATATATTTTCTGGATTTTTCCTAGATTTTTTTCAAAAAAATTATTGATAATGTCTCTATCTTTCACTTTATGAGTACAAGGGGCAGAAATATAAAAATCAACGCGAAACATACAGAAAAAGACGAAAATAAAGAGAAATAAATATTTAAAAAAATTCGACAAACCAACGACGAGCATCGGTTTGCCAGGTAATCCAATACAGCTTATCGTCTCCAATTTATAGCCGGTAAAATGGGCGTGGCTTCCCAAATTAGGTAGATAAGGGGCGTGGTTAGCCACAGGCGTCGTTTGGCACCTTTAATTACCGGGAAAGTTGTCTTTTCTCTCCCACCTTGGCTCTAATTGAAGGTGAGAAGATGGGAAAAGGTCTCAATTATGTGAAAATCATGCCCCTATGGGAGAAATATTCGAACATGATATTTAAAAATTGCTCCTATTTTGGGAGCCCAAGGCACGAGAATAAACGGAAATAGAATATTCTTTTAAAAAGTAGCTTTTTCAAGGATCATTGAAAAGCTTGAACATGTTCAAGAGAGATTCTCGATAAAAATATAAAAGTTCAGATTTCAAAAAAAGTCCATATATCTTGGCCACATTTTCTGTGATTTCCAGCTTTCATCTATGAAAATAATGAGCTTATGCAGTTCATAAAGTTAGGGGGCGCAAAGCCCCGCCCCTTCACGCCACCAAAATGACGATTTTTTTGTTGCAAAAACGGTTTTGAGGCGTTTATACTAGCTAAAGTTCAACTTTAAAAATAAACTGTTTCTGGTAATCCATGTAATCGACAACGCTCTACAAGACTGAATATTTTTAAAACTATGTATTTTTCAAAAATAAGCGAAAAAGTAAGATTTAACACGAAAAAAACTGACAAGTTTCACAAAATCATCGCGTTTCAGAAAACCAAGTGAGGAACGCTTCTAAATTTTAAGTATGTTATACATTAACACTTTCTTTATTTTTTGAGTGAAAATGAAAAAAAATCTACCGACGCGAAAAAAATATCAAAGCTTGTAAAGTGACACCAAACTTTGAAGCTGAAATGCGAAAAAATTTCAGCGACAAGGTATACTTTTTATTTGATTTAAAAACTCACAATGTGCTCACAAACAAAAATTCAAAATGAAAATAATTATTGGGACAGCGAATCAAATTATATTTGAGTTTTACCAAAACCTCCTTTTTTCGCCTGCCTCGTTGACGCATGAGAGAATAGGATCGCGTCTATATTTATGATTATGTTATTAAGCGTTCGAAACTCTATCAATGAAAAATTATGAAAAAAATCGATCGACGCGAAAAAAATAACGGCTTTGAAAACCTCGAAAAAATGGCATTTTTTTTTGAAATTTCGGAAGATTTCGTGCAAGTGTCCGTAGCAGTGTTTGCGTCAAACACACCGATGCGCCCTTTTAAATGTCGCAGGAGCCGTTTTTTTCGGAGTCAAATTGCACTTTTTTTCCTGTTTTTATTTCGAAATAACATTATTTTTTTCATTTTTTTCTTTTTTTCCAAATCGAATGATAATAATTTTTTTCTGAGTAGAAAAAAAGAAAAAAATAAGCTGAAAAAAATCCCTCTGACCTTTTTTTCTAGGTAGTTTTTTTGATATTTTATCAAAAAAATTCTTATGAGGATTGTACAAAAAGATTCATACCAAAACATGAGGCTCAGTTCGGACAACCTCTCAGAGCAGAAAACCGATTTAAAAACGGTCCTGAAACGCGCAAAAACATTTAAAAAGAAAGCGTGCGGCAGCGGGTAAACCGTGAGATTTCGCCTCCAGTTGTACGCCGCGCGCGCTCGTTTTTTGGCCATAACTTTTTTCTTAGTGGAGCTTTTTTCAAAAACTAAACGGATTATGAAAATGGACAGTCTCCTC